TGTAGTAGACATCTAATTGAGTTATCGATGGAACATAGCCATATTTGCACTAAAAATGGTCTCTATGTGTAGATCGTGCATGCCAGTCCTCCTCGGAGCAGAAAGTATCAGTCCGAAACGTTTAAAACCATGCACAGAGATTTGGAGCAGACGTAAGAATCAGAAATAGATAGTAATGGAATACAGCGCTACCGAAAGCGCTCGATTCAAGGAAACACTGAGGAGCGATCGGTGTATGGCTTGTTTTTGTACTCAAACCAAAACCTCAAAACCACACGCCAGTGCTTGCACCCACATCCCTTACGCCCACCCCACCAAAACCTCGCCTACTGATAATGGCATCTCCCGCTCGCAGTCAACTCGTTCTAAAGCCGGAATTACAAAACGCCGTCACGCACCGTGCAAGCCTCGCTTCATACACTATATCACCCGCGCCGCCGTTGGCTCAGGATAGCTGGGGCCGTCTCGCCACAGAAAGCAGCAAACGGCAGTCGTGTCGACGAATCGGCACCTCGGCCTTCAAGAGGCTCGCTGTAACCCTTGTCTATTTGCTCTCCGGAGACAACCAAAGTTGCGAAGAGGATGCGGTGTGTTCTATTCCCGAACCACTTGCTGGCTGACTGACAGGAATCACAGTTCATTCATGCGGTGCTCACGTCAAGTGCAACATGTGCCCGTGTATTGAAAGTTCTCTATCAAGATGTTGCAAAGTGCTCCTTCAGACGTGGGCAGGACACGCCTGCCGTTCTTGACGCTTTCGTGATCTATATTGGGGCACAGGTTGCCTCCTCCGCCGACGGTTATATTAGGTTCCAACCCTGGTTTAACGCGGTGTTCTTGCCCCTGGGAAAAGCCGCTGTCGCTGCCCTGTAAGCACCTTTTTATGTGGAAGTATTCGAACGGAAACGAAAATTGAACGTGCATGCAGGACACCCAAGATCCCGAAGCCCCCCAAGCGAGTTCAGGACATCGGCCCGCCGATAAATCGCACATGGAAAAAGAGCAAGAGTATGTGCCGTAGTGTTCACTTTTTTTATGTATGCTGACCGTTGTTCTATGTGTTAGGATCGACTTTCCTGGGTAGGTGGTTTGCTCAATGACCGCAATCGAACTTCACAATTAAAAAAAATGTATACAGATGTTTCGAATTTGACTCTCCCGGCAGCAAAGAATGACCCGGTCCGTGGTTTATTTTTCACATTCAAAACGCAAATCTCACAGCTCCTAGACCGCAACAAAATCTAAGGTATGTTTCCTCTTCGGCTTAGTCCAAATTAGATTTCATCATGACACGCTCTAGCCGCGTCGACGCCAGAATAAGAACCAAGGCGGCGTCGTGGACACCGATAGTATGTATATATCTATGCTGGCAAACTCAATCAGTTGACATGTGTCCGCAGCGACCAAATTCATCAGCCCGACGATTTCGACGATTTCACAGCCTATTCCTCCCGACCCTAGAATGACCATTACATTTCTATTAAACTGAGCGGTTGATTTTTTATTATCATAACAGTTGCATTACGATATCCACTTCATTACTATACCACTACTACACTTGGAGATTTTTAACCTATCCACTGTATCCTAACTGAGTGTCTGTAGAAATCAATCTCGCCATGGCGGCGCTGAGAGGCAATGACGTCAATTACCCCAGTAGTCCTTCTTTAGTACGTCGATCCCTCTAATTCCAACTCTCTGTTGACGTATTGTAGAGCGGTATAAGCGCTGAGAATCTCGTATTCAACACCTTGACATCGTGACTTCTGGGGTCCAAAGTACGGTTGCTTAAAATGCCCAAAGGATGGATTCTAACCTACTATAGTCCATGGAAGCACTTACGGTCCGTGCGAAGCTCTTGTGGCTGCGTTGGATCTCTTTGCGGAGGTAGGTTTTGTCCAACCTTGAATTGCATTTTTAACCAGCTGAATAGGGAGTTGTTCGAGCACATGTTCACTCTGGACGCCTGGAGGACGTTAACAAGGTCATCAACCAGCTTCGCTCCTTTGAAATCACAGACCGCAAGGTCGTCATCCCTGACTTGAAGGTGTAGCAGTAATTATGTGTTCATAGTGGGAACAATGTTAGATGTGTTAATTTTAACAATCAATTAAAGGTTCGGAATAGTTTATAAATTTATGAGAACACAGGTGTAGGTTGCATGTTGTGCAGGATGGTGGGGCGATTGGGGTGGAAGGGGGGTATAGTTTCGCATTGAATGAGCTCGCGGACGCGCAGGTCACATGGTCGTGATTGGTCCCATTGACGACTTACCACCATCGCTCTATCCTTCGCGCCCTCCACCAGCTCGCCGCCCTCAGAATTTCCTTCTCGTAAACCATTAGCATAGCTAATAAATATTACGACAGTCTGGACTCGCACTCACCCCGTACACTCCGAGTCGCTTCCTGGCCTCCCATGTCTGCGCGGGATATTCCCAGCCTCGCCTGGCGCGCGCTGTTCGACAAATCAATCCAGCTGCCCACCTGGCTCATTCAGCAGGTTAACAGCATGACCAAGGATGATGTCTGCAATACGTCGGACGCAGGAATCTCCATTCTGCATCAGACATTATATACATCACTCGTTCGTGAGGCGGGAACACTGCCAAGCGGGGACCTGACGGTGAGTAAGTTCCTTGAAAAGTTAACTTCTGGCTTACTGATTTTCTAGAGCTGGCGTCAGGCTATTGCCGATAGCAATCGGAATCTCGCAGACCTTGTTGCAAGTCTTGGTTTATTCGTCCCCTCGGGTGCGACTGGAAGGCAGGTCTTTGGGGCTGCCCTGTGGCTTTTCCATGAGGTCTCAGGCGAGGACGTTGTCGATACTTGGGTGGCGAAATTGGTGCGTCCAAGCACCTTGATCGCAAAAGATCACAACGCTCGACGGTTGGCTGTACTCAACCCTGGGTTTGTCTCCATACCACACAACTCAGTGGTAACGAGGAAAATCCTACGGGGATTTGCACAGCTGGGATCACCGGTGGCATCCCCAAGCTCCTCTGTCGCCCAACTGACTTCCGTCCCCGGGCCAAGCCGAGTTATGCCCACCGCTTCAACCTCTCGCGACCGTGAGATCCTTCTTCTTATTCTTCACCTTCAATACAATCTAAACTAATTCCAGGGCCACCCGCAGAATCCCTGGACTCGGTTTCACCACCGCGGAAACGCGCGCGCGCGAGAAGTCCTTCCCCCGAAACCATTGCAGGTCCTTCACGCCGGCCGCTCACCTCCCTCCCTGCGCCTCCACCCCAGCGCTCTCCACTTAGCCAAGCGGCGACGGCGGGTAGAGCTCCCAGGAACGACCATGACGAAGACTCGCATAGATACTCCAACCCGTACGTTGCGTACGACGGGTCTATTCACTACTAGGGGGGCCGGCGCGAACTCGACCCTCACATGCCGGAACTACCCCAACAATAGCAGGGTGACGACGAGGGCCAGCAGAGTGGTGGGAGTAAGCTGGTGGCAGTAGCGGGGGACCTTGCGACTTCCGGGCTAATCATTCCGATTTCGCATGCAGCATTCGGCGCTGGCTTTCTTTTGGACTTTTTTTCGGACTTTGTCTACAATCAACGAAGCATAGCGACTGTAATTTTAGCCATCCAGGCGTATGTGGGGATCTGGTATATCAGATGCCCGTGGCCTGGCGGACGCACCTGATATACCACGATCGACAGTCAGCGGAGGCGTCTGGTATATCAGCTCAGCCTCCTCCTCGGCTAAGCACGCGTTCGGTAATCCCCGTTGATTTCCTCTTGGCGCGCTCTCCCCGCTTTTCGCGCTCCTCCCCGCTTTTCGCGCTTCTACTGCACCCGCGCTTGCACGCGGCGCGCCGCCCATCCAAATCAGGACCTTTGTTTACACATGTTAGCATCCCAGCCTGCTCTCCCCTCCTCCGCGCCCGCGCTTCCCTGCACCACTGGGGGGCTCCTCGCAGGCCCGCTTTTGGAGGGTCCTGCGTATCCCATCCCATCTACGCTCTCAACCCCTTGTCTTGCTTCCACTCCCCTCCTCTGGCACGCTATCGCTCCGCTGCACCCTGGCCTCTCTGCGCCCGGTTCGCCCCCAAAAGCTGGGCCCGGCCAGCGCTCGGGCTGTCGTCAAGGGCCACCCCTACGCATCTCCTGCCCCCCATGCTCAACATGTCGCTGCGTCCATACGCCTCGTGGTTGCTTTGCAATCGACCCCCCACCGGTTCGCGTACCCTGGCTCTCGTTCGGGCCGGCCAGCGCCATCCAGCAGCGCGCCCTTTGCGCGCCACGTCTCCGCCTTCTGCGTACCACGCCCCCGCCCTCTGCAGCTGCGCGCCGCGCTCCCGCCGTTCCGCGTCACGCTCCCGCCGTTTGCGCGCTGCGCCGCCGCCGTTTGCGCACCGCGCCGCCGCCGTTTACCTGCCACGTCCCCGCCCTCGCGCCACGCTCCCGCCTTCCCCTTGTGTGTTGCCCCCCTCCCCCGCCCTCTGCGCACTACGATCCCGCCCACTGCAGCTCCGGGCGGTGCTCCCGCCCTCTGCACCCGCCCTTTGCGCCCTCTTTCCCAATCCCCACGTCCGGATCATGCTCCTGCCTCTCCTCGTGCCCCTCGTGCTCCTGCCCGACCTTTATTTAACTATGTTCATGTACTTTAAATATTTTGAATTTCATGTCAATTAACATTGTCAGTTCCTCCACTGTAGAGTCAGTTAATATACCAGTAGTGTTTTGATGAACTATGGCCCTAGTGGACTAGTGGTATGTCGCCTGTAGCATTTAGCGATAGTCGACAATGCCTTGTGCAGGAGAGTCTCGGTCCAATTCCGAGCTGGGGCATTTTTTTGGCCTCATTTTCTCTTTCGGAGGCATGGCCTTTTTTACCGAGCAAGCGCCGCGTTCAAAGACTCGGAGTTGTCCTCTTTACACATTAGACAAAATTATTCGAATGCAAATCACGAAGTCCATTTTGTTGAGTTGAAGCACACTTCCTGCACACCAAAACGTTCCATTTATAGTATTTACGAATGCGCTCATGGTACAGTGGTAGTGGATTGGTCCACAAAGTCTGACCCGAAGCGCTTGCAACGGTGGCACTGGTTCGAGTCCAGTTGGTAACATTTATTTTATTTTTCGTTTTGGTTTCGTACGACTTTTTCAAAGCTCAAGTCGAAGAAAAACACACGTAACCCCCCAAAAAAAATGAACAAGTCGTCAATTTATTTTTCAATCATTCTAACTACTGTACAGAACAATCCAAGCTGGTTGAGCAGCGTCGACACGAGTGCTGGTTGAGCAGCAAGACAGCGGGCTGGTTGAGCAGCCCGCAGCCACGATATTGTATGCCGTTGAGGGCCATTCCACTCACGGCGCGCTAAGTAGATCTGCAGGCCCTGCGATTCCGACCTTTAGCGCGTGTTACACTCGAAATGCAAACACGACATACCTTTTGGGCCGACTAGATCCCTCCGCGGCATTCTCAGTCTCCCGCCCCCTCTTCCCCTTCCCCGTCTCTGTCCGAGCAAGTAACGCTGCCTCACTCGCCGCATGCGGATTCACCCGGGTTTTCTTGACCTGGCGCACTGGCGCGCTCCCATCCAAAAACAGTCTCGGCTTTCGCGTGCGTGTGAAAATCATTGTCTCCGTATTCCCATTGGGATTCGGCACGCTGTGCCAACCCTTCGCTGCCTGCGCCAAGAGCGCCACCTGCTGCTCCGCCTTCTTCGCAGCCTCCTTCTCCGCCAAGGCTGCCGCGCGACGCTTCTCCACCACCTTGTTGAATGCCATGATATTATTACCAGGCATGGTGTAGATGAGTGCGGGTGCCAACGGCAAAGCAGGCACCGGCGGCGCTGCATCCTCAACCCCGACGACGTCGCCCATCGGCACCACGGCCTCCGTCGCGATCTTCCTCGGTCGCCCCCTCGCCCTCTTCACCTTCTCCTCCACCCCCACTACCTTCTGCGCCGTCGCGACCGCAGCCTGCTGCTTCTCGGCCGCGACCGTGCCCGCCTTCGGCTGGGCTGTCTTCTTGGCCGCAGTCTTCCTCCCACCTGGGCCCTTCTTCGCGCCCTTCCCTGCGTCCTCGGCCACGCCCTGTTTCGCTGTTGGCACCTTCGTCGGCGGGCGCGACCTGGGGAACTCGTCCACCTCATCATTGGCGACCGAGGCCACGGGGATGGTTGCCGTGACGACGGGGATGGCAGCAGCGGGCGCGATAACGGGAGGGGTGGGGGCGATATTCGCGGTGGTGGGGAAGATTATGGGCAAGGTCGTGGGTGCTACCACGGGCGCAATATTCGGCGTTGCCGCCACAGCGGGCGGCGGCTCGTTGATAATGCCGTACATCGCACGTGCTGTCCTGCTCGCGAACGTGCCGGTGCTGGGTGTCCGCAAAGCAGGAGGCACAGTCGCGGGCGCCGGCGATAGCAAGTGCGCGACTACCTGCGACCCAGGAAGCGACTGCAGGGGGAAATTATATCCTCCCACGTTCTCCGTCGCCACCGCCGCCGGGGCCGCGTACATGAAACCTCGATACGAGGGGCGGGGGATGGGGCGCAGGGTGAACGCGCTGTCGGGAGATGGTGAGGAGGGACATGACAATAGCGGAGGCGACGAGCTGCGGAGGGGCGATGAGCCGAAATGTGGATCCAGCATCATCGCGTCGAAGTCGAAACCAACCAAGGGGTCCATCGAGAAAGCATCCAGGGTACCAGCTTCCTCCCCAGATAGAGCGTGGGTGGGCGTACGAAACGGCGACACAGACGCCGCAAAGGAATTGCGGACGCCGACGTCAGATGGGGTCGAGGACAGGATCGAGGGCAACGATGGGGTCGAGGTCGAGGTCGAGGACGGGGTTGAGGACGGGGTCGAGGACGCTGGTGCAATGGGTGCCACTGGCACGATGGCTGGACCAGGCAAAATGACCGCCTTCTTCTTTGGTTTCGGCGCACGCTTGCGTTTCTTCTGCGGGAGCGGAGCTACGGGCAGAAGCGCCTCGTCCTCATCTCCCTCGCCTCCCCTGGACGCCCCCCGCGCACTAGACTCAGGCTCGGGTCGGCTGGGTAACGCCCGTGCACGCTGTTCCTGGGCCGCTGTGAAAATGTCAGCGAATCTTCTCCGTACTTGATCTGACCACAATACTTACTGAAAACCGCCCTGAGATACTCCTCGAATGGCTCCGTGACGTTCTTGTCAAAATCGACGCAAGATTCTTCAAAGTCGTTCCCGGCAGGTGTTTCGCCAAAGCAGATGCTGAAGCCATGGTAAGATAACACCACACAATAACCCAAAACGGACTTACACCTTGTAGCTGAACTCGCCTTTCAACCTCGGGTTAGGGCCGCCCACAATTGACATCCCAACCCAGCCCGCCGCGTGATGCGTAGCCTTGTGAACCTCCGCGAACACCGGTTCCAACGCGTCAATTCCACTAAGAAAAATAATCAGCTCAACGCTCCCACCAGAGGAAATAAAGTCTTACTCTTGGAGCTCCCAGACAGTGCGCGCGTCCGGAACCGATGGATCGAGATCCGCCTCCGCCTTCAACTCTGCCTCGCGGAGCTCTAACTTCTCTGCCTCCACCTCAGCTTCCACCGCTTTTACCTCGTCGACATCTGCCTCCTCCCAAAGCGCTGTCACCACCCGCGTCCGCATTCGCATCCGCATCGACTTGAGGCTCTTGTTGCGCGCCTCCTCAGTCCCCGCCGCCTCGTTAGTCCAATCCATCTCCCCCATGTTCTCCAACTTCAACTCGTTGTACCCCGCCTCGTCGAGTGCGGTGTCAATAAGCGCGGTATTGCAAATCTGGAACTGCTCAATCGGCTTGTGAGCGCGCCGGCGCTTCGGGGCATTGAGCTTGAAGATATTCTTGAAAAGCGCCGTCGCCGAACGCGTCTGGGACGTCGCAGTCGACGCGTTTCCGATTTTCTTTCTCTGGTTTCGGAACCAGTTCTCGAGTTGCTGCAGCTCCAGTCAATTTCAGCTGGTACGACGACTGAATGTGACTCACATTTTTCCTAGCCCTGATAGCGGCCCCCAGCAGCAAGAGTTCGGTGTCCGTCAAAGCGCGGGCATCAGCGTCGCTGGGAATCGGCAGCTTCAGAGGCCGCTCCTCAGGCCATCTATGGAACCACGCCTCTTGCATGCCCGACCAGAAGAGATGCAGTTTCCCTTCCCCTTGCCTCCGCATGAAGTCGCCCATCCAGCCTCGAAGCCACGCCGTTTGCGCATCGTCAGCCCAGGTTGGTGGTGCCATGTGCGCGTCAAGCTCGAAGTGCAAGTGGTGATATACTGGGGCAGTAAACGAGCGTATGTTGGCGGGAAACAAATTATTTGATACCCCTCTTATTCCAGTTGTACAAATATTCCGGTCCTGGCCAGGTATACGTCTCATTTTTTGCATTGCAAATTATCTTCCTCTCCCAAACTATCCCTCCTTTCTTAGCAACGCAGGCTATTTTGACGCGGTTCCCGCCATTTACTCCCGCGTGCGTACCATTTGGGCTGCAATCTTACCACTGAATAAACCTTTTTCGTGCCGAAACGGGCCAAGGCCGACGACCATCCCAAATGGACCAAAAACCTGATATCATGGCCGCCGCCTGACATTGCGTCTTCTATCAAGGAACAGCATGTGTCGCATCCTTATCCGCTCCATCTCGCCTCGAGGCCCTCTTTATCATCCAAACATCAAGCATCCGCTCGCCACCAATTCCCTTTCTTCCCCCCATGCACACCCCAACTCCTGCGACGACCGCCTCCACCCCTGCGCAAGAGATGGACGCGCTCATCGCTCAAGTGGCGGACTTGTCCAAGCTCGCCCTCAAGATGACCCAACATTGCATTGATTTGCACGGTAGGTCGCTCCACTGCGTTCTTGCTTTTTACTTACTCACACACACACACAGACAACATCCCCCGCATTGTGGGCCTCCAGGTTGCTGCCAAGGTTGCGGCCGAGCTCGACGCGCTCGCAGACGCTGCTGCTGCTCCCGCTCCTGCGGAAGACGGTGTGTACCTCCATCCGCAATCATGTCCCTCCTCTCAAGCGTCTTCATCAGGGGCCTTTGTGAAACTTCCAGCTCCCACCCCCGATGAGCTCGACGCCCTTTTCCCGCCTGGAACTGGCGAGTCCCAGGTGTGGTACATCGTCTGCATTGGTCGCGAACCCGGCCTCTACGCCAGCCAGTGAGTTTCCTTTAAAAAACAGTTCCTCTGGGCGCTTCGTTCAACTTTTTGATCAGCACCAACGCCGACGACCAGGTTCGTGGCGTGCCCAACCAATTCCGCATGAAGAAGTCCAGCCTGCGCGAGGCTCTCGACTTCTACCGCTGGAAGTACACCCACCAAGAGGTGAAGAAGATGATCGAGGCCACCGCTTAAACGGTCTGTTTTCTTTTACTATCTCTCTCACTATTCTGACTTGCTGCGCAGCCGCCATTTTTACGTGTTTGTCGCAATCTGGTGTAGTGTACTTGACTGTCCGCGTCCTGTAGTCCGTACATACTGTGCTCAATACATCTGGTCTGGTCTGCGTCACTTGGTGTTCAGTTGCCCCTGGGCCCTCATGTTCATTTCCCTGTTCGCGCAATATCGTAACTGTACATCATAATCTCGTATACATCATCAATTCTTGATATCGTACATGCTAATTTCGAATACACTGTCCGGAGGTAGGTAGCCGAGCGTAAGTGATCGATTCAACCCTAAATTCCCTAGTCGTCGCGAAATTCCCCAGCCGTCGCGTCTTGTTGCTTCTGATGCAACCCTAATCTCCCCACATGCTGGTACGGTTCGTGTGTCAGTCTGGCGTCCAGGATAATCCGGAGGATGCTCACTCTGTGGCAATGGCGCGAAACTCCCGATAGGTCTCCATATCCCATGCATTGTCCTGCATCATCTTCACCTCACGCGCCCAATACGCCAGCTCGTCCCAATGTTCCACTGACATCATCTTCCGGGAAGGCGTCAAATCTCTGCCGCTCTCTTCCCAAGCGAATGCTTCGGCAGTAGTAGGGCGCAGCAAGGGGCCCGCATTGAGCTCGGCAATCGTTGCTTGGAGTGTCAGCACCCACGTGGACTCCTGGCTGACTCGGGCCACGCTCGGTTTTGGGGCGGC